GACTAGGTGCGTTCTACTAAGTCGCCGTGACAAGACCAAGCTGCGCCGAGGTTAACCCACTTCTATAAATCGAAAGGAGACTGCGGCCACACCAGAGACAGCGATATCTTGGTCTTCATATCCTCAATATAAGATTAAATTTGAATTTAGTAAAAGATCTTTGGTACTATCATATCAGATGATTAAAGACTCGATAAAGCCAACATTTTTGGCACATTGATTTTAGAAATTGAGTTATATCAGAATAGGCAATAAAAATTAGCATTTTTACGAAAGATAGTTTATCATAAACATGCAATTACAATTGCAAAAAGAAATAAGCTTCTAATAAATTGTGCAGTGTTCGAATTTAAATCAAGTAAAGAAAAATACTTTTAAGATCGCTTTAAATATCTCTCCTGATTTAAGCCAACCTTGAAATGTGATAATCAACCTCAAGATATTATGAAAGGCCAATGAAGTAAGTAATCGAATCATCGAATCCTGCGAGAAGACCTGAAAGTTGGGTTAAGGAAGATAGAATTGCAGTTGGCTAGCATTCCTGACTGAGTATTTGTTGAATTTTGTTTCCGGCTAGAATATGGATCCCTCGAAATTTCAGGAAAGTGCGCCGAGGATGTGTATGCACAAATCAATGGTAAAGACACCAAGGCGATAATCTTTCAATTTCCAATGGGGCCAATTTACAAAGAGCTTATAACAAGCCTTTTAAAATAGGTGCAAGGTCAAATGAATAGGCATTTCAGTTACTTTTCCTTTCGAAGAAAAGGTCAGGTGGAAACGAACAAAAAGTTGGCTTCATCAATAACCCGATGACTGCCTTAAAGTTGTGGTTGCTGATTTTCACGAAGAGTTATCAGGCGCTTTATTCTTGCTGAGCTTTCATGTGTCTCGTCGTAAAAAGCACTATCGGAGAGAGAAATCATTATTTAGTATAACTTAACCAAACACTATACTAAAAGTGATGGCCGGCCCTAATCCATGCTTGTCGTGTGTTCAATGCTCATTATAAATATTAGATGTGAATGTCTAAACCAAAGTCAGCAGTGCTTTTCGTAACTCCCTCACTTCCTAATATTATAAAAAAACTGGACTTAGTTCTCTTTCAATTTCCAACATTCGTCCCTCCTACTCAGGATGCTGAAAATTTTGATATTTTCTAATGACTCCAGTCTTAAACATAGATATACATTATCCATATCCTAAAAAAGATTTTGCTTTATATTATTTTTTATAAGGATCTATATTGACCACGTCTTAAGCCAATTCTGATTTTGAGACTCATAGTCTTTGGCAAGCGGTTGGGTCAGCAGTGCTCCCTCAGATAGACGCTAATATATAAGCACAAGTCCTTGTGAGTACCTGATCTTAAGATGATCTAAAACTTCTGGAAAAAATGGCACAATTTAAGGATGCGTTAATCTCTAATTATTCGTTGTCCGAATGTATCACTTCCTCGGTAGTTCATCTATATCTCTAGAAATGTGGCGAGATGGCTGTATTAAGAATAGAATATAGGTCTATCTGTCTGCCCTGTTTTTAATAGCTGTCACTTGTATCCGATGCCTAAGAACTTAGAAACAGTAACCGATTAATCCCAATGAATAATTATTTAGAGCTAAAATGGATGGACTTAGCTTGCCTCTGACGAGTTGTAGCTTGGTGGTAAAAATGAAAAGATTCAATGATGAGGCCGACTACAATGTAGGCGAGACGTCTGAGAATGTGACAAGTTAATGGTCTGACGATGGAAATTATCATGGCTACTGTGGCAGGATTCTGGACAAGGTGCGCTGATCCGGGTCTTTCCGACAAGAAAACCAAGCTGCGAGAATACGGTTAAGCCACTTCTATGAGAGATATGAAGGGCCAATGCTGGCCACAGCTCATGGTTGAGTGTTTGGTAAAGTTTCATGAAAAATGGTTCCTCGTTCTAATGTCTGTTACGGCCAGACAAGCAAAAGATTAGCAGTAATTCATCGAGTTTGCGGGATTATGCGCCAGGGAGTTCTTTGCGAAAATCAATAATCACAACTCTAAGGAAATTCTTCTTTGGTTTCCTGTAGGGATAACTTATGGATCTCTTCCACCGAACGTTTTCTTCAAGCGTAAAAGTCTAATAACATGAGGCTATTAAGGGATTCTTCCCGCCACACCGTTTTTTGTATAAAACAGTAAGCAGGCTGCTTAGATGTATAGTAGGTTCCAAAGGTCTGAGTCCTTCAACAAGGATTAAGCTAATTTCATCAATTATTTAAAAAGTTTATCAAATTTTTATTTCGTTGATAATTTTCAAACAAGATTACATCATTTTTCGCTAAACTTTTGCAAATCAACTCATGTATGTTCACCAATGCAAGTCGACAAAAGTTAGTTCATATGTACTGACAGAGATAATATGTTAATTTCCTAAATAAGTAGTTATCGAAATTATCAGTAATTCTTAAACAAAAACTGTCCTCCTAGGTTGCTTGAGGTGAGGTAATGAACTGGTACTTGAGTTTACCCAGAATTGGATGATTTGGCCTCAAAATACCATTGGATTTCACTTAATCTTGCCTCTCAAAAGGCTATAACATCGGGTGTGGACTGCAGTTTCGACCTGACTAGGCCTCATCAGATACTAAAGAAGTATTCAATACAGGATCGTGAGTATCGTGATGATATAACCATATTGCACGGCCACGGGTTTTAACTGGGTCACAAAGCAGATGTGACATTCAAGGCAAGCCAGGACTCCCATAAATAGGATTTATAGTGGGATCGTTGATTAAGTAAACAAGTGTTTGCTATTCCAATCAACTATCTTACTTAGTTTCGATATAAGTAGTTCTTGGATAATACCTTAGTCATCCTAAGTCACTTAAGGTATCCCTATTCTGCAGGGGCATATCATCTCTTTTGACTTAAAGGTTTATGGAAGAGGACTAATGTCCCAGAAGGATAATGATCCTAAAAAAGCATCAAATTTGTACCAGATCTATTTTAAATCGAGGAAAGAGCAGGAAGTGCCGACCTGCATGGATTTCCTTACACATTCGTTATACTTTAAGCCCTAAAAACATCTTTGGAGACATTTAAAAAGGGGACAGGTGGAACAAAATGTAACATCATAAGACGCTCTGGGATTCAGTAAAAGAGGGCAGGAATAATAAGGATTGCCAAATTTAGCAAAAACTTCTAAAATTGATACAAGACAGAACGTAAACAATGACTAAGGCTAAAAGAGCTATTACCAAATAGTGCGAAATTTGTATTGCCAGGAAATACGAACGAATTTTTATTAACTTACAGCCGTTGACTTACATGGAGGTGAATAACCAAGTAATCTGATTTGAAAAGTATCAAATGGGAAAAAATGTTTGTTCGTTTCTATAGAGTGAAATAAAAATAGTTCCTGTGGTGAAGTCAGACGACTTTAACTTTTAATAACAGTTGTTCTGTTACTTTTGTCCTGAAAAGAATAAAGATAATGATAAGAGTTAAGAACCAACCTCAGCAAAGAAAGTTGACTCAACCAACTCGAGATCAATTTCATCGCAAATAGGCTCCGCAGATTGAGAGTACACAAAAGAAACAAGATAGCTAGTCCAACTTCTCGACTGAAGTTGGGAAGCAGTATTAAGAGCACTTATGGCTGAAAGAAGACCAGTTGAAAAGCGATGGAGCTGAGTCAAGGAATTTGAGCGATCGGTCGTGTCTAATGAAGTCAAATTCATCATCAACATCAGGACGGATGGCCTAGTGATAATAGCAAATAATAAGATGGAAATTGATAAATGAAGTTACCTGTTTGTAGAGCCTATTGAATGGCATGCGTAAAAGTAAAATTCTAGGCTGGAAAAAAGTTATAATCACCAACTCAATGGTACAACCTAGATGTACCCGAATGCATGATTTGCCCACTTGTAAAATAATATATTGGGTCGGGTGTCCTAAAGTAAAAGAATGGCGATCTGAAAGTTAATAAGAATTAAGATATAACTCGAGAACCTATGTGATAATTATTTCACTCGTCAATGTCTGTCTGTATCCTCAGTGCAAATAGAGATGCCTCAGCTAAGTGGTCTCATGGGCTTCATACGTTTTGATTGACTCTTCAAGCCTGTAAACAAACTTAACTAACTTTTAATCCTAATAGCTTCTGGACATACATGCCATCAAGCCCGCCTGAGGCCAGCTCCGACCAAGAACGTCAGAAGAGTCAAAAGCTGAGAGTTAACTCTCCAGCACTTCAGTCAGAAACCTCTCTAAACAGCCCACAAAGTGCATAGGGTGCCATCGTCGAATTATTTTGCCGTCCATAAGCTTATGCCCTAATAGCAGTGGTATTCTCATTAAGAAGACTTACATAGGACTGAGACTCATTCGGCCACAACGGCATTTTCCGGCAAAAGTCTAATTGTTCTGGCCAGGAGGCGGCTTGGCAACAATGTCGGCGCTTGCGATTCCGGTAGTTAGTAAAGTCATAGCAGTCACCAGAAAGCAACTTCAAGTGCATAGCGCCACATCTACTATAGTCCGAAACTTCCCCCCTCCCCTTTGTATCAACCTACATCATTGTGGGTCAATAGGTAAGAAGTTATGATAAGAAAGCAGTTGAGATGCTGTGGAGATTACTAATCAAAATGATGGGGCATGGACTCGGAGACAATTAATAGTAGCAAAATAGCGAGAGAATAGCGTCGTGGAAGCGAACCCAAGTAAAATAACAAACCTGACGTGCCTTGAATAAAATTCATATGGAGTTCGCTATAATAACGTTGTTATATTTGGCTAAAATCGCAGCCTAACTCTATAATTTGTTATCATGGAGAATATTAAAGTTACTAGTGAAGCAAAAAGGGAAACAGCACCAGATGGCTCAAAGTAAAAAACCTTAGCAGTTTTCGTGTTGGTTTGACCTAGTTTCAGCAACCTGACCGGGACAAGAGACCTTTTGGAACGTACTGAGTCCCGCATCCCCTCTTATAGAAATCAGGATAATTTCCAGCACATGAGCTATAGCAACTATGGAAGAATACTAAAAATAAATTGGTTCCGATGAATCTTCTGAGCTAAAATTGTTGGAAAGACTTCAATTTCATATGAAAGTGCATAAAGAAGAGATTCGTAGATTGATCTCACCAGAATACGATAGATGAATCTCGTTGTACTGCAGCCGTCTGGCTTTAATAAGACGTTCGGGTTGACGCAGTCAACGAGACATCCTACATCGCTTCGGGAGAAAACTAGCTGAGCTATTGTCCAGTATATGGACATCATCAGAACTGGAACTCATCCTTGTAAAACAAGGCTCAATGAGAGCATAGTAGACTACACGAGCTAATTAGAACCAAAACCAGGCTTAGAAAACCCTTTTCTGAGGTAATGACTAATGTGGATTGATTTAAGTTACAAGATATGGCTGACGGCTTAGGAGGGGCCATTGAGAGAATGATTCGACGGATAAATGCTAAGAAGCTCCGGAACTTAGGAATAAGAATTAATTTGCGTACAAGATAAGTCGTAGTAACCATGCTTGTAACAAACTAGGGAAGGATAAGGTAATCAATTAATGCAATATAAATCTAGAGGAGTGTGGAACTTTTATTGGAAAGATGGTTAAATTTTACTCTTTCAAATGAGGTAAAACACTATCTGAGTATGCTTGTATAAGTAATCATTTTATCTGGTAAATTGCTTAAGGTAAAAAATACTATTGAGCTGGAAGTGATTCCTCATTTTGACGACATTAGAATTTCTAGCTATTTATTTAGGAATAATCTAATAGTTATAAAATCCGAAAAAGATGGAGCAGTGGTAGTCATGGATAGCTTAAGTTCACTGACACGTATAGGCCTTTATTGAGAGACCCAACAGAAAGACTTAAGATTAGGCTAAAGGATGCCCTTAAGATATGCGTAAAGAATGGCAAAATTGAGAAGTGGAAAATGAATTCACTACTCCAAAGAGAGGCAAGGGCCCCCTCGACTTACGGTCTCCCTAAGGTTTACAAATAGGGTTTCCCTCTATTGTAAATAATAGAGGAAGCGTGATGCATAAAAGCTCACGTTTTTTATGCATACAACTATGGAAGGCTGTCGATTTTTGGCAATATTTAGTGAAAAAATTTTAGGCGTCTGTAAAATTAATTGAGCAGTAAATAACTTCAGAAGATAGGCGAATAAGTTTTGGCGTTGTGTATGTGTACACACAATTGCTGCTCAAGGAGCTATTCAGAGTCTAGTACAAAATCTGGAGGAGCATCCTGAGATCACACAAGGAATAAAGTTGGGCATAGCGTTCATAGATAGACT